TGATTGCAATATTTCCTAGAGTAGCCCTTCATGTGCGCTGTGTTGCATTCATCGGTGCAACAAATAGAATAAAGTATTTTTCCTATTTGATATATGCAGCTGTTCTTGCATTTGATAATAATAGTAATGACTTTTGTTGAATCCATCACCTTGGAAAATGCGTTGTATCGCAGGAAGCTGTTCTATTACTTCAATGGGAGTTAAATCTGTTGAAGGTTGTCCCCCTGCAACGGATGTAATATTTTAAATTAGGGTATTACATTGTTGTATGATGAGCTGCGTTGCATCTAGCGAGAGAGTGCGACGACTGTCTACTGTCTGCGTTGCCTTTTTCTTGAGGCTCCAACGGCCAAAAATTTTGTTTTTTAGTCAGTTGCCTGCGGACGAGCGAGGTGTGTAGTTGTGCCTACCGAACTATCACCCTTAATATCGATTGGCTTTATGTGTGTTTCCTTTTCTTTTTTTTCAATAAAAATTAACTCTGTTACAATTATTTGCGTTGCCTGTAAAAATTCAACAAAATCCTTCGCCGATTCTGCACATTTAATTTCAACAATGGCGTTATCGTCTATAAGTCCATCGGGAGTCGCGCTTAGGTATGGTATAACAGCATCGATACAGAGTCTACATGGTAAAATGGAGATACCTAATTGTTCTTCCAGTTGGTTCATAGCGTTAATCCTGTATTCAACGGATCGTAGATTCTGTATTTGAAAATACATTATTGTTGAAGGTTGTCCCTGCGAGGGACATAATATTTTAAATTTTGTTATTATATTGTTTTATGATGGGTTGCGTCTCATCTGGCGAGGAAGTGCAACGACTGTCTATCTGGACAAGATGTTCTTAAACAATAAATGAGCGTAGACCCGCATTCCTCTGCGCATATGGTCTATTGGCACTGCGTTGCCATTTTCTCTACGGCCAAAAATTTCGTTTTTTGAGGTAGTTGCCTGCGGACGAGCGAGGCGTATGGTTGTGCCTACCATTGCTTCCGAACCATCACCCGTAATATTAGTTGACTTTATGTTTGTTTCCTTTTTTTCAATAAATAGCTTTCTCATTAAAATTAATTCTGTTACGATTATTTACGTTGCCTGTAAATACTCAACATATTTGCACAAAGTGGGTGCCCCGTTGGATCCTTCCATTAATGTTGATTACGCATAGCTTCGGCCCTGTCCACTTTAGAGAAGCGAGCAGGTTTACCTGCTCGAAATGTAAATCGCACCGACACTTCTATTAGGTCGTTTGTTCTACAGAAATGCATACATAATCCGATCATGTGTAGAGTTTTCGTGCTGGACAAAGAACTTCTCGTAAAAATACAAAAATATTGCGGAGAAACTACGCCCGTCGACACTTTTTAAAACTTTGACGTTAATTTATAGCTATTTGGGACTAAAAACAATGAACAAATTGTATACCACTACAATCGAAAAGCTCCCCTCTATCTTTTAAGATGGATTACTAGAACTTTCTAATGTTTTTACTTCTCATGCGATACCTAATTTTTTTTCGAAAACTGGAGTAGACGGAGCAATTCGATCTTCGGGTACTTGATCAGGGAGTGAAACTCTACAAGAATTTCATAGTAGCTGTAGGAAATGAAAAATCGTGCCCGACAGTAATATTTTTGTCCAATTGTGTAAGGTAGCCGGGGCACGGGTCACGTGGAGGGTGATGGTGGGGGCCTTCTCGGCCTCCTCGCCATCAAATTGAAAAAGCAAATAGAAAACTACTGGGTTTTCACGGAGCCCAGGCCTCCACCGAATGGACCGCACCAGGTGCCCGCGTACGAAAAATATAATGAGGTACCTGATGGAAGTGGACCCAGGAAAGGCACAGGAGGCATTAAACTGTCTAGAGGCATCCCTAAAACTTTCTTCAGGACCCATCGCCATCTCTACTGATAGCAAAGGTCGAAGTATTTATTTTAAACAACTGCGCGGACCTGGATGCGCAGTAAAATGGTGGGAAATGGCGAATTTACTATGGTGAAGCAAATCGTAGGGATCTCGATGTTGTAAACGGACCCTTTTCTGCTTGTCTACGCATGTTTCTATCTATTGTCTCGTCTTATCTATTGGCCATTTCTGTGACAGCTTGATTTTTCTCGTCAGAAGACCTCAAATTCGTAAACGACGTACATGCATTTCACAGTGCCCTAAATTAGCCCACCCCCGAATTGTAGCACGGACTAGAGCACTGTCCCGAACACAGTTTCTTTTCTACCCTTCGCGTCGTAAATGAACGTTTCTAAAGCAACAATTATCATATGGTCTAATTGTTGATATCTTATTTATTTCCTAAAACCATTTTTAAATTAGTGAGGCTTTCTTAATATGTTACACGATTTTGTCTGTTACTTCTGTATCGCAAACTGTGATTACAAGTAATGAGAAAGAAAGACAATCGGCGAAATATTGATTTTGCATAGTATTGAAGAAAATGCCATTCTTCGATAATTTACCTTTCCTTCGGTTAATTCATCTCAGCCTGCAACGAACATTTAAGAAATAAGTTTTGTAGATATCGGAAACTTATATCCATATTCATTTTCATTCCATAATCCCAACAAAAATTTTATCGAAATGTTATTATGTTGTTATGAGTTATAAATAATTAAAGATTAATTTATATTATAATATTAAATAATTAAATAATTAAAAAATTCGATCAAAAATTGTGAGAAGCAGTTGTTAGAGCACTTCTATATATATCAGAAGTAGTATCATATAACATAGAATACATATATATTCTATGTTATATGATACTACTTCTGATTCTACTTCTATGTTACAATCACAATTGAAAAGCGTGCTAGAAAGAATAGCAAAAGGAAACAATAACCCATCAAGGGTAGATTTAATAGCTGCCAATGTACGTAAATGTAAAATAATAAATGAAAAATACTTTCGGCGTATAATAATACATTTAATAATAATAGATACTTTTACGTTACAGAGGGTGAGACAAAAAAGCTGCTAAAGGCGGCAATGTATTGTAGTTACGCAAAAGGCATAAAAAAAGGAAGCTACCCGATTGGTTAGCACACCACTCAGCTCCGACCAATTAGGGAAAATTCCTATCGAACACCCCAGTATATAAGCGAGAGAAAAAATAACATGTAGCCAGTCTTACTCGTATTCTGACTCTCACTTTTGCTGGTGCCTTAAACGGGTAAAGACTCTGTATAACGAAGATAAAGCACACGTGTACACCTCAAGACTTCAGACTCATTTCACGAGCACATCAGACTAAGAAACCTCCGATATATCTAATGCTGTCAGCGAGATTGAATCTAGGTATGTATTTACAGTCACAACCACCCAGTTCCCTACAGCAGACATGCAACACATTTTCATTCCAACACTCGCACTATATACATAAATACGATGCAAAAAATTACTACAGTGACCCACCATCCCCATCACATACCAAACACATCACATTAACATTAACGTTCACATATCACACGTCCATCTCGTAGGATCACATGTAAAATTATTATGTATATTTGTATATATTTAATCGTTATATGTATATTATTGTATATATTTGTATCTTTTGTATATATTTTATATATTATATCTTTTGTATATATTTTATATATTGTATATTTTGTATACATTTTATATATTGTATATATTTTAATGTTAAATTTTTAGTATCGGTATATATACATATTTCTGTTAATTCAAAGCTAATAAACAAACTTTATTGATAAAATTGTGTTTTATTTCATCGGAGAATGAAATATCTCATTAGAAAGTAACATTTATTTCTTAGTAACAACTTACCTCAAAGCGTTAACAATTCACCAAGACCGGAAATCACTTGATCAGTTATTGGAAGAATTGAGTTGCATGAAGCAAGAAACAAATGAAAATGTATCGCAATTTTATCAGAGGCTGGAAGATCTAACTTCCAAGGTATCGGGCGTGATCCACAATACAGAAGGTAATCAGGAAGCATTAAATGGACGGTTACTCATGATCAATGACATCACTTTAAATCGATTTGTCTATCATACCCGCCCCGCCATTTCGCAAATGTTGAGGTACGGAGGCTTTAAAAACATTAATAGTGCCTTTACTGCTGCCATTTCTGAGGAAAAAGCCTCAGCCTATAAGGAAAACTCCCATAAATGTAGAATTTGTGGTCGCACAAATCACACCACAAATAATTGTTATAGAAATACATCTGACCCTCCCACTCGTAATCATAACAACTTTAGATCCGTTAACTACAGCCAAGCTCCTACTTCATCTACAAACCCACAAGCCCAAATGCAGCCCATTACACAATGTCGTTATTGCAAACGCTTTGGTCACACTA